AAAAGGTGCCAGCTAGGCCTGCTAGGGTCAGGGCCTTGGGACTTCATGACCACTATGACATGTGACAAAGCAGCTCGTGGCCTGACTTTCTGTGTACCTCTGTCCTAAAGGATTCTTTTTTAATTTTTTTTAAACAATTTACTTGTGGTTTTGTTTGTTTGTTTTCAATCTGAGTGCTCTGTCTGCACGTATACCTGCAGGTCAGAAGAAGGCATCAGATCTCTTTATAGATGGCCATGAGGTATCATGCGGTTGCTGGGAACTGAACTTGGAACCTCTGGAAGAAAAGCCAGTGCTCTTAACTGCTGAGTCATCTCTCCAGCACCAGGATTCTGTTCATCACACAGATGGTCTCCATGTCCCTAAATTTTGTTTGTTTGTTTACTTATTTAATTTTTTGGTTTTTTTTCAAGACACATTTTCTCTGCAGCTTTTGATGTTCTGGAACTGACTCTGTAGACCAGGCCTGCTTCTGCCGTTCAAGGGCTGGGAATAAAGGTGTGTACCACCACACGCATTTTTTAAAGATCTATTTTTATTATTTTATGTGTCTGCATTTGTACACCATTTGTATGTTTGATGTCCAAGGAGGTGGTGAGCCTCCATGTGGGTGCTGGGAATTGAACCTGTGTATTTCACAAGAACAAATGCCCTTAACCACTGAGCCAATTCTTCAGGCCTCTGGATTTTAAATTTATCTCCCTTTTTCTTTTAACTAGGTAGCTATAATTGTGCACATCTATGGGGTTGGCCTGTTGTGATGGCTAGGCTTTGTGTGTTTGTTTGCTTTTTTAGGACAGGGTTTCTCTGTGTAGCCCTGGCTGTCCTGGAACTCACTGTGTATGGCAGGCTGGTCTCAAGATCCACCCGCCTCTGCCTCCCAAACACTGGACTAAGACATGTGCCACCACCTCCTGGCTGCTACTTTGTTTTGTTTTAAATCAACTGACACAAGCTAGAAGCAGCTGAGAGGAGGGAACTTCAGTTGAGAAAATGCAGCCATGATGGAAAATCTGGACCCAGCATGGAAGATGGCTCCTTCGTGCCTGTGTAGCTAGAGCCCTCTTCCCATTGTCTTCCCAGCGCATATTTTCCAGCCCTTCTCTGAGATCCCAAGACATGTGCAACTAGAGTAAATTGCATACAACTGGCTGGAAGGAGTGGCTAGATACACAGGCTAGATCCAGTGGCCCTCTCTGTCCATTCCTTCTCTGAAGGACAAGCCCTTGTGGGATGGCCTTTTACAAGCTGACACAGCTGGTCATACAAAGAAGGCAGTTGTGCTGGTCAGATAGTTCTGTACAACAGCTCCAGTCACAGGGTCAATGAAAAGAATCTTGCATCAGTGAGGAATGATCCATATTTGGTGGCCTGCACTGTGATGGCCAGGGCCACCAACACAAGTAGAAAGGGGGAGGGGCAATTTACCTCCTCAGAATACAGGAGAGATGCTGCACAGACTTGGGTGACAGATGCCCAGCGTCTGCACTGGCCACAGTTAGGAAGCCCCTGCCACAGGGAAGCTCTAGGGTGCCATGTGGAGGGAGACAGTCTGATGAACAGCTTTTCAGAAATAAGAATCAATCTAGAAAAGCCTTGACTGGTGCCACAGCTCCTGGCCAGGTTGTCAGTCTCTGCTTATCTTCTTGGCTTCCCCTCAGCAGTTCCTGGTGGTCCCTATCCTGGTAACAATTACCATTCTTTTTCTAGACACTGTATAAACGGTAACAATGTGGCTATGGCTTTCTCTGAGAGCCAGCATTCTTGAGCTCAGTGCCTCACTGCTCCCCTCTGCCTTGGCGAACATTCAATTCCCATGAGGTCAGCAAGCTGAGGAAGCAGGGCAGGGAGGGAGACCTCCGGGTTCCCCCTACCCCATTCCTTAATCACCGTCAGTCTCCCAGCCACTGGTGGTCTCAGAAATGTCTGAGCATACCTGACTCCTCACACCGGTGTGAATGGAAAGTCAAGAACTCACTCTTGTGAAACAGCTTATGGACCAGTGAAATCGAGAGAATCACAAACCCTCCCCTTCCCACTCCCTGAAGCTTCCCAGGGGCTTGTGCTTGGACCGCTGAAATGCAAAATGTGCTTTGGAAGTGCTTTTCGGAGTGCAAAGAGTGAACCAGATCTGGGAACTAATGGATGCTCTGCCCACAAGGAGCCCAGGTTGAACAAGTGAGGCTCTGTGCTTTCTGTGTTTTAATGGCCTTCTGGATTTGTCCCCACTCCTTTAGGCTTCACTGTTTGTTGTGTGGGTGAGGAGACTAAGGCTTGCCTGGTTAGTAATGATGGGAAAACAGCGTCTAAACTCTGGATGGAGCTAGAACTTCTCCCACCTGCCTCAATGACAGCAGTAGAACAGGGATACCCTCGCATCGTTGCTACCTTTCTAGGAAGCCCACATGGCCCAAGACCTGTTAAAAAGGCCATTTGCTGCTCCAAGGACCTCAGGAGGGATGGAAGTGAGATAGGGAAGCTGTGTGCTGCACTCTGCTCATGCAGCTGGTAGGCCTAGAGAGAATGCAAAAATTTTTCTAGTCCTCAAAGAGGACCTCAATGCTGTGCAGGCAATTCAACTGGCCTGCCCCTAGGGGCCTTTAGGATCCTGACAATGTTCTATGTTATTACCTGTATCCTATGACATCACCTGGGCCAGGTGCTTCAGATATGACCAGCCTGCCACTCCCATCTGCTCTCTCTGCTTTTGTTTCTCTGTTGGAGCACTCCTTCCCCCATTTCTGTCCCTCTGTCTCTCTCTGTCTCTCTGTCCTCGTGGCCCACTCATGCCCTAATTCTCTTCTGCTTCCCTTCCCCTGAATAAACACTTTAATATAAGACCTGTTGTGTGCATGGCATTTTTAAATAAATCCTAACAACCCCTACCAGGGGTCTAACAGTAGCCCCAGCAAAACCCACTTAGGGCTTCAACATTCTGACAGCCCACACTCACTATTGGCTACTCAGACACCTGTTCTCTTCTCCCATGCTGTCTTGAATTGGGACCCAATAAGTCCCCAAACTTATTCTCACAATTTACCAATTGTGTGTGTGTGTGTGTGTGTGTGTGTGTGTGTGTGTACAAATCTTGTTCTCCTGGTTTTGTGTGTCTGGAGTGTTATTTTCTTTGCAGTTACCTCTCCTACTTGTAGTTCACAAAAACCAGCTTTTATGTAAAATAAATCCAACCTGAGAGTAAGTAGTTGTGCTAGCTAGTTTTTTGTGTTTGTTTGTCAACATGCCATAACCTGGGGTCATCTGGGTAATCTCAGCCAAGAAAAGTGCCTCCATCAGACTGGCCTGGGATTGATGCTGGAGGCCTCAGAGGGTGGTGTCTTGCCTGGGCAGGTGGTCCTGCACTGTATAAAATACCAAGCTGAGGGAGCCCTAAGAGCAAGCCAGTAAGCATCAGGGTCCTGTCTAGAGTTCCTGCCATGACTTCTCTTCATGATGGCCTGTAAGCTGTAAGAAGAAACAAACCCTTTCCTCCCTAAGTTGCCTTCAGTCATGGTCTTCATCAAACAGCAACACAAAGCAAAGGAGAATAGTAAGTAGTGTATTTCTGTAATCCAAGAAGTGGGGAAAGGGTTGAATCAAGAGACTCTCTAGTTTGAAACTAGCCTGGGCTGCACAGCCTCAGACCCTGACTCAGAAGTAAATAAAATGTCTATAGTGCTACTGATACTGGTACAGTCTTGTGGTACTTTTTTTTTTTCACATTTATGCATATTTAATCATTTTGAGTTTCAGTTTTCTTTTGATTTGGATGCCCCTCCTCCTCTCAGTTAGCTGTGTTTACGATTGAGAGCCTCCATGTATGCATGTATGCTCAGGAGAGCGGTCCTAGTTCACAAGGAGCCAGAGGAGAGCATTGGATCTCCTTGAGCTGGAGTTACAGGTGGTTGTGAGACGCCACGTGGGTTCTGGGATCCTAAGCCTGGTGTTCTGCAAGAATGGCAGATGCCCTTAACCGCAGAGCCGTGTCTCCAGCTCCTGTCTGTCACCTTCCCTTAGTTCTCAGAATATAAATTTAAATATAGTTGGGTGGTAGTGGAAAACGCCTTTAATCCCAGCACTCAGAGGCAGAGGCAGGCCCATCTTTGTGAGCTCCAGCCAGCCTGGTCTAGAGAGAGAGTTCCAGGACAGCCAGGGCTACACACAGAAATCCTGTCTGAATCTCTTGAGTTCGAGCTTAGTCTGGTCTACAGAGCAAGCTCCAGGATGGTCAGGGCTACACAGAGAAACTCTGTCTGGGAAAAACAAAATAAATAAAATTAAAACAAAATGATTAAGTAGAAGCAAACAAAACCTAAGTATATTCTGATGTTCCTCTAAAAAGCGTTGCACTGCAGGTGGGCTTCCTCTCCCTCTCTTGTTTACCCTGTGAGTACTCATTAGGCATGGATCCAGTATTAAGTACTTCCACACGCTGTAGCGTTTTGCTTTCTTTATTCGCTATTTCAGAGGAAGAAACTGAGGCTTGAAAAGATCCCTTGTCGCGGCTTGCAAGTAAATCAAGGTATTCTGATTTACAACTGTCTCCTTGGACGAAGGCTAGCCTCTCCAAGTCACTAGGTGTGAAGCCACTCCATAGACTCATTTCTGCAAAGGAAAAAGTGAAAAAAAAACATTCCCCATCCTTTTTGCTATGATTGACAGGCTGACCCCAGAGACTCCTTGAGAAATTGGAACGCCCACAGGGCCCAGTGGTGGCGGGTGTGCCAAAGGCACCTGGCTCAAAGGGGCCAGAGCTCTCACAGCGCCTAACCAGCCGGCTTGTTTGTGACTCTGCCTGCTCCCGAGCGCGCGCCGCCTGTCACCGTCACGTGGCCGCCCCTCCCCACCCCACCCCTCGGTGGCTGGAGAGGCTCCGCCCCCCGCGCCGGCCCTTCTTTCGGCCTCCTTCAGAGTCACAAGATCTCAGTGAGGCCCCCACCTTCGCGATCCTTCCGCCGTCCCCGCCTCCACATTAAAGTCTTTTTCGGTTTTATTTTTCTCGGCCAGCTTGTATCGTCATAAGTGGCATATCCTGTCCCATCTGTAGAGGCTGAGGCATTGGTCATCTGGTACTGAGCTCGGGTCGCAGGAGGGACCCGGGTAGGGACTCTTTTTCGTAGCGGAGGCCTCCGCCGTTCGGGACGCTGCACGCCAGGGGGAGGTGCTGCGCGTCCAAGATGGCGGCGCCCTGTAGGCTGGAGGGACTGTGAGGTAAACAGCTGAGGGGGAGGAGACGGTGGGTGAGTACGGGGGGTGTTTCCCCTTCCTTTCCTTGTGGGTTTTTCAGGGCAGCCCTGGCAACGTGACCTCAGGTTGCGGAGCGCTGCGCGGCGCGTTGGACGTGTCTGGGGTCCGGAGAAGGGGGTTCAGGGAGCTTCTCCCTCGCCCTCGTCGCGCGCTGGCTCCGGCGGGGCTCGGCTCGGGCTGGCGGGGCCCAGGGCAGCTGAGGCGGGCCTGGCCCGTCCGACAGGACGGGTGGCTGCAGCTTCGGGCCTGAGGTGACCCCGCTAGCCCGCCCCCCTCGCTTGTTGCGGGGTGCGCGGCGCAGGTCAGAGACCCCGGGCCGATCGCTGAGACCTGGGGGTGGGGCCGTGGCCCGAGACGCGGCAGCAGCTGCCGGGGTTGGGGGTGAAGAATGAATGAAGGCGGCCTGTGGGCGCCCGAGGCTGCCCCGCGCCTGCTGTCTCGGTGAGTGTGTGCACGGCCGGAGTGCCTGGCTCCGGGTGGACTTGTGGATGTTTAATTGATGCTGAAAGACAGTTACCTGCAAGTCGGCAGAGGTGCTGGTTAGAGACAGCTGCTTGCCCAGCCGCTGCTGGCCTCTCATTCATTCATTTGGGGAGCTGGAGGACCCGCAGCCTTCCGTCCCAGACATCTTTTAGAATCCAAGCACTTTCTTTGTGTTGTGGGTTAAAGGAGTTTGGCTTCGTGCGTTTGGGTTCTGGGATGGGAGAAACGTGGGGGTTAGGCGGGGTGTGCTCACCGGTAACTGCAGCTCTTAGTTGCAGGGGCTAGGGGCTACAGGGGCTAGGGGATAGGCACTGTTGAAGTGCTTCGCAGCCATCCTCTCTTTGCTTCTGGACAAAGGAGAAGCAATCTGCAGCCTTCCTAGATTAAGAAACTGAGGCCTGGAGAAATTGGGGTAATTTGCCCAAGGCCACACCCCCCTCGTCTGAGAGAGCACTGAATTGAGGTCCGATTAGTTTCATTTTGTCTGCTGTTTGATAAAAGCTGTCCTTTTATTTAGTGATTGTAGTTAATCATTTGACCAAAGTGTGTGTGCGTGTGTGTATGTGTGTGTTTGTGTGTCTGTATGTAATTTTGAGCAGGGTGCATTTTGGTTTGTATGTCTTACGTTTTTGTAGGGTGAGTGAGTTTGTTAGTCCAATTAGATTACAAATTATTTTGTATTTTTCCATAAAACCGATGGCATTCACTGCAAAAAAAGAATGCTGAAACATTTACTTAAAAAAATAAAGTATAGAATTAACACTTAACTTTATGTAGAGTACACTGTGAAAGTACTAAAATAGACTAATGCTCTTCCGAGATATTTTGACTTATAACTTTAGGATCAGTTTGGAGTCAGTAGCATTCAAACAGGCTGGGAAAGTGCATCAGTAAATTCCAGGAAGCCACACAGAGCCTAATCTTCTGGGAGCCTTTGATTTACTGAGCAACCCACCTGTGATTCTTAAGTTGAGCATCGCTGAATAAACCTGGGATATGCAAATAGGAAAACTGATTTAGAGTTGTGTAAGGAAATGCCCCTTTAACAGTCATACATCAGGCAAACGAGGCTCCTCAGACTCCTTTAACCACCTCGAGTAAATGTAAGGGGTATTTATAGAGGATGTGAACAGAAAATACCTTCTTACTAAAGTTAATATTTTCTCTAAAAACACCCTTACATCATGGGGCTAGAAGGGCAGATGATGTAAGCTTTCTAAGCCTCATGCATTTCTTGGTGTCATAAGTGCTTTGTATGTCCCTAAATTCCTAGTTAGAAGGAAGCAGGCTGCCAGCTTTCCTGCATGTATTCAATAAGCTGAAGTGCGTGCAGTCTTGTGTCTCGGTGGCATTCTTCCTCCCTGGCGTAAGAAGAGAGTTGTGTGGTTCTGCTGTGGCTGTGGTGTGATGCTTTCATGCAGGCTTAGCTTTGCTTAAGAGATATAACTGAACCTTCTGACTAGGGCAGATGTAACACAAACCTGAGATGTAATGTTTACATGAAGACAGAACTGTCCAAGTAGGAGTCCCAAACCAATTCATCTGAATCTCTGTGCATGCAAGCATCTGGCCCCATAGTAGGTATACCTGTGTATTCTGTCCTTGAGACTAGATACCCTGTGCATGTTTGTTTGGTTTGGTTTGGTTGGTTGGTTTTGGGAGAAGTCTGCTTCTGTGTACCAAAGAGGTAGGGGATCATGGGCTGAAAGTATCGTTTTGGCTATTTGCTTCTTTCAATTTGTAGTTTATTGCAGAGGCCTTTCTTAAGCTATCTTCTAGCCTATTTGTGAAGTTGTGGGTGAATTTTGATCTTTGCACACAGCTGGCTTGATCTGTTCTGTCCTTCAAAGTGTTCGAAGCTGCAGGTATGTTTAGTTTTGAATTCCAGTGCCATCCTGAGCTAACATTAGCTCCTCCTGGAACTGACTGGATATCCTTGAGTGCCAGGTTTCTGTGATTCAGAGTCTTCCTGAGCTTTAGGAAATATTTTGACCGATGTTAATTGGTCTTGACTCTATGGTAAGTCATAGTTCTAAAATGACAGAAAATGAGTGACTCTCGGGCTGGATGGCAGGGTGAGCTTGTTTATCCTTTAAACATTGTTTCCCTGTATGTTCTTTTATAAATCTCCCTTTAAAAGAAAAGTTTTACTGATCATATAAGTAGCTGCAGGCATGAATGAAAAGTATATAAAATAGTTCAGACTTTTGTTGTTGTTGTTTTGTGCATGTGTGTTTTAAAACCTTAGATCATCAGTTGATTACTGTGTAATAGAGTTTTGTGTGCATACTCAATTTTTTTTGGTGTGAATATTCATTTAAATTGCCGAGACTTCACATTAAGTAACAAGAATAATTTTTTCTTAAGTCTGTAGTTGCTAAAAAAATTACAAATTTAATGTCACTTTTAATGGAAAAGAATAAAAAGATACACAGATTTACATACATATAAAAGATGTGTGACCTTAGGACCTTGTCAGTTTCTTCTAGTTCCTCCTTTTTTGGGGGAGGAGGTATACAAGAAATAGAAAAAGTAAAAAGGTATACTTTATAGCTGAATGAGTTCACATTGACATCTAATGAATAAGATGCCTTACATGCACAGCATTATCACCAAACAAGGCATGCTGTAGTTACTTTTGGCAATTGGTCATGATGTGAGGAAATTGGGCTGTAGGGTCATGATGCATTTGGTGTCTTATGCTGGTGATGGGCTAGAGCAGGGCAGGGTGGAGATGGAGGATAGATGCAGTGCTTTTCGGCCTGTGGTGGTTAAACTTGTGTTACATTGTGTCTCTTAGAGAGAACAGTAGCAAATTTGAAGTGTATCAGTTTTAAGTTACAGAATGGTGTTATTAGTGTCACAAGTACCTGTTAGTAAATGACTGTGCTGCTAAACACTCTGTACTCTAGAATACATTTTGTTAGTGGTAACATTGTATAAAAGTGTATGTTCTGTGCCAAGCACAGCTAAGTGTTTTCATGTCTGATCCCCCTTTATTCTTTCTATAGCCTTGAGGAGGATAGGAAAGGATTTTGAGACTTGTTGGGCTGAAGATGAACTTTGTTTGATTGCCTTCAGAACCCAAGTATTTAATGTTGGGTTGAGATAAACTGCCTAGTCCATTAATCTCCTAAAGTAACCCATAGGTTAGTAGGATTTTATTTTATTTTATTTTATTTGAGGCAGGGGCTCAGGAAATGTAGGCTAGTCTGGAATTAGTGTGTAGCCAAGGCTTTCCTTGTGTTTCTAAAGCTCCTGTCTCCTCTTCCTGATTTCTGGAATTACTGTTGTGCATAGTCATGTCTGAAAAGGTAGTTGTTTTTAAACTTTTGGGGGACAAACCTATTCTTTTTTAAGGTCTGTAAAAATCTGTGGGCCAATGTCTTCTGCATTTGACACCCCCAAATACATATAGATAATGGGATTTTGGAAATAATGTTACAAATTTTATGAACCTTGCTTAAAGCCCAACCAATCATTTTAGGCAGCTTACTGCTCTTGAGAACACATTTGGAGGCTAAAGAGCTGGCTAAGGGTTAGTTAAGGGACTTGGGTTAAACTCCTGGCAGCCACATAAGGGCTCACAACCATCTGACTCCAGTTCCAGGGGCATCTGACAGTCCTCTTGCCTTCGCAGGTGCCAGACATACATGTGCTTCACAGACCTACATTCAGACGAAACACTTGCACATATTAAAAAATGAAACAAAACAACAACAAAACAGCAAAGCCTACACACACACTTGGGCTTTATTAAACTGAGAGGTAGGAAAGGCCTTTTTTAAAAAAAATTCTTACGTATTTATTTTATTGCAATACTGGGAGTTGAATGCAGGGACTTGGTAGGTGCTAGGCAAACACTCTACCAACTGTGCTACGTTAGTGGTCCCAACATTTATTTCATTTGTGTGGGTATGTACATGTGGAGGTCAGAGAATAACCTCAGGTGTCATTTTCAGGAACACTATCTACCTCCTTTGAGATAATGTCTCTCACTGGCCTGGAGCCTGCCAGTTAGACTAAGACTGGCTGACCACTGAGCTCAGGGTGTCTCCCTCTACCCCCCGCCCCAGCACTGGGCTGTCTGTGTACTACCCTGCCCAGCTTTATGTAGATGCTGGGATCAAACTTAGACCTACCAGGCAGATGCTTCACCAGGCTCTCAGTTACTTTTTGTTTGCCATGACAGAACAGCATTTAATTTGGGGCTCACATTTCCAGAGGGGTAGAATACATGACTATCATGGTGGGGAGCATGGCAGCAGGCAGGCAGGCAAGCATGGTGCTTGGGCAGTAGCTGAGCACTTACATTGGATCCACAAGCAGGGTTGGGGTGTGGGAAGGAAGAAGGAGAGGAGAGGGAGAAAAGTATATGAATGAGGGAGAATGTAAGAGGAGGAGCTAGTTAACAATGGTGTGGGCTTTTGAAACCTCAAAGCCCACCCTCAGTGGCAACTCTCCTCCAAGAAGACCAGACCTCCTAAGCCTTCCCAAACTGTTTCACCAACTGGGGACCAAGTATTCAAATATGTGAGCCTGCGGGGATAAGGGTAAGCTGTAGTCTTAGCCCTGAGGGCTACCGTTCGTTCGTTCGTTCATTCATTCGTTCATTCATTCATTCAGGTTTTTTGAGACAGGGTTTCTCTGTGTAGCCTTGGTTCTCCTGGGGTTGCTTTGTAGGCCAGGCTGGCCTCAAACTCGAAGAGAGAGATCAGCCTACCTCTGCCTTCCCAAGTGCTGGGGTTGCAGGCGTGTGCCACCACTCCTGGCTCTGAGGGCCACCTTTTAAAGGTGAACATGCATGCTGTTTGTGTTACAAGCCACTTTCCTAAGCTTCTGTTAGATTCTCTGTTAAAAAAAAAAAAAAAAAAAAAAAAAAAAAGATTCTCTGTGCTTCAGTAATAGTTTTGCCTTAGGTACCATACTTAGAAAGTAATCATTCTGGGCATGGTGGTGCACACCTTTAATCCCAGCACTCAGGCAGAGGGAGAAGTATTTCTGTGAGCTCTGGGCTAGCCTGGTATACACAGAGTTCCAGACCAGCCAAGGCTATACAGTGAGGCTTTGTCTCAACAAACAGACAAAAATTTATAAAGAACTTAGGTGTGTGACATACTAATGCTTATTAGGCTTGGCATTCAGTCTGTGCTGGCACCTTGGGTACCTGGTGGGCCTATTACATTTGCCTAAGTTTTGCATATAGATTTTTTTTCTTTAGTGTTTCTTGTCTTCACCACTTTTTTCTCCCTGGGTTTTCTTTCCCCTACTCCACCCCCTACCAAGATTTATCTTATTGTTGTTATTTTTTTTAATTTTATGTTTGTGTGTGTGTGTGCACACACCTGAGTGTACGTATGTGCACCGAATGTGTCCAGGTGCTCGAGCAGTCTGGAAGAAAGCGTCAGTACCTTTGAACTGGAGTTACCAACGGTTATGAGCTGCCATGTGGTTGCTGGGAACTGAACCTGCGTCCTCTGCAAGAGCAGTTTATACACCTAACTGCTGAGACATTTCTCAAGAAGCCCCACCCCCATTGCAGGTTCTTGACCTTTAGTGGTGATGGAATCACCTCAAAGGTTCATTGCCTAAGATTTATATTCAACTCCAGGGCAAGGCTCAGGAACTTCTCTGCCTTCCTTTTCTTCTTTGTCTCCCTCCCCTTTAAGAACATGCATTTCTAGTCAGTTCTTGGCCACTGTTGGTGATGTGGGGACTGCACTTGGGAGAAGCACTGCCCTGTGCTGTTAAGCCCTGTGCCTTTCTACCCTAGACTATGTCTTTGTTCTTTGAGATATGTTCTCTCTCTCTCTCACTCTGTAGCTTTCACTGATGTAGACTCACTTTGTAGTCCAGGCTGGCCTTGGACTTTTCATAACCCTGCCTCACTTCTCTAGGGCTGGAGTTACATGCAAGAGCTGTGACACTTAGCTGCCCTGGGTTGTTTCTGTTTAGGAAAGCTCAATATGGTGACTTCTTGAAATATGCATGTAATATCTTTTATTTGTTTTATTTTATTATTATTTTTTGTGACAGTTTTGCTCTGTTGCTCAGGCTGGGATTCACTACAAGTCCATGTCTCTGCCTCTAAGTGCCAGATCACAGGTGTGCGTCCCCATGTCCAGCCTGCATTAATTTTTTTGCTACATAATTTTGTTCATGTTAATTGTCAAAATTGAACCATTATCTGTAGGAAAAAAAAAACATGCCTTGTGGAACTTAGCTGTGATCCTGTGGTACTATGTCTAGAGGGTTTGTCCCCTTTGGAATTGAGTGAGCTTAGTGACCTGTCCATTATCCACTGACAACTCTATGGACAGAAATTATAAGTGGACAGTCTAGCATATTAGAGCTATTTTCTAGGCTTCTGTGACCTGGAGAAATTCTATAGTTGCTAAGACTATAAATCACACCTACACCATCAGCTCTTTTGCCTTTTCTTCCTTTTTTTTTTTCAAAGATATGAAAAATTATTTCTACAGCATTCTGCCTGCACACCAGAAGAGGGCACCAGATCTTACTATAGATGGTTATGAACCGTCAGGTGGTTGCTGGGAATTGAACTCAGAACCTCTGGAAGAATAGTGAGTGTTCTTAACCTCTGAGCCATCTCTCCAGCTCCCCCCCTTTCTTCCTTTTGTGTCCAAAGATAAAGAATTAAATCAAGTGTCTAATCTGTTTGGGTGCATTGGTGCTGAGAGCATCTTGGTTCAGTTAATAGGATATTAAGTTACCTTTTAGTCCCTGAATTAAGACCAAATAGTCATAGCAGTATGGCACTTCTGTTATACTGGTCTGTCTCAAGTATACTTGGTGATGTAGGAGTCTGTGCATCAGTCTGTCTGAATTGCCTCAAGTTTTTATTGACCTGAGAAGACTTTTGTATATTACAGGCCAGTGTGCATAGAGCTTTCTGAAGTGACTTGACATCTGTCTCACCCGAGCCACTGTCCTGACAGAGGCAGTCCAAAGATGGGTGCAGGTCTTGCTAATGACAGCTCTTGCACTGGAGCTCATGTGTAATCCCCAATACATAAACAATCTGGCAATATCTAAAGGCTGAAATTAAATGAAGATACATTGTGATAACCAGCCACCAGTGTTTTTTCTTTTTACACCATGCTGACACACAAAGCCCATGTCTTCCTTAAGCCTGCTTTCTCTTTTTATCCAAAAAGGCTGCTTATGGGAATGAGGTTACAGTGAGCACGACTTTTAGGTTAAATATTGAGGAAGAAAACTCTGAGGATCCAGGGGCACTTGCCCTTTTCCCTCCTATCTTTTGAAGAAGTAGGGGAGCTGATACTGCTCTTATGTTCTGATGACTGTTTATACCACCCCTCACCTCCATGGAGGTTGATGCTTCACATCTCACTTTACTGATGTGAATATTATGCCCAGTAACACTCCTCTCCCCCTGGCAAGATTTAAATATAAGTGAATAAGTGAACACCAAAATAGAGTACTGGTAGATAGGTGCTAGTGTACCACAGAAAACTGATGCCAGTTCAATCCCATTACTGTATCGTTAAGCACAGAGGTAAAGAGATGAAGTCTTACTGTTGAGACAAACCCCACTTAGATTCCGTAGTGTTCCGTCTAAGAAAGTGGCCTTAGCTGGGCAAGCCAGGAGCTCACCTTAGTGTGTCCTAATTTTAGCCTCACCTTGAGCACTTCTTTTCAGGTAGAAGATCCAAGTGGGATTACTTTATAAGAGGAAGTCAGTGTGACTCACTGATTAACAGTTCATACTGAGGTTCTGAAAATGAGAGGCTCCTGCAATAGCTCAGCTCTGTTACTTAGTGGAATGGAAGTAGCTAGGTAGTATTTCTTACTTGCAAGGTCTGGCCAGACCTTTGGTAGGGCTAGCAGCCAACAGTAGTGCCCACAGACTTGCAGTGGCCGCTGAGACAGTTGGCAGGGCTCCTTGAATGTGTGCCACATGGTGCTGTGATCACCCTGCCGCTGGGGCAGAGACTGTGTAGGAAAGGTGCTTAGTCCTGTTGTTGATGCAGGACTGGGTACTCCAGAGCTTGTCCTCTACCCCGGGTAAGCAGATGTCTATTGGCAGTCAGTGACGCTAATGGTATCCTAGGGACACACTGAGTGGATAGCTTTTCCTCTTGGGTATCAGGTACCAAGATATTCCTGTGACCCCTGTCCTCATAGAGCGTACAGTCTTCAATCAAATAATCCCCAAACATAGGGTTAAGAACCTGTACATTTTGAAAAATGTATTGATTACATATTTATTTGTTTTGTGTGTATGTGTGTGGGCACACTCAGTACTGTTCATCTGTGGAGGTCAGAGAACAATTGGAAAGAGTTGGCTGTCTTCTACCAATCATGGTTTCTGAGGATCAAAGTTAGGTTCTCAGGCTTGGTGACAAGTACTTGTACCCACTGAGCCATCTCACTGGTTCTGAAGGGCTCGTGGTTTAAAATCAAACTAGAATATATATTCATAGATAAACTTATTTGATATGGATAATGAATAGCATGGACACGGGTAGAGGAGAAGGAAAGTAGAGAAGCCGCTGCTGAAATATTTTATACCTGCCATGTAGGATTAGACTTAGTCTGTGCTGCTTGAAGGTAAAATCAGGCTTTGTACATTTACCAGCCCCTGTGGCAGCTTCTGGGGCCAAGTCCCTAGTAGGCTGCAGCTGCTCCCCAGTGTGTCCAACAGTTCCTTATACTTGCTTAATGGGGTTTTAGGAAGTGACCAGAAGAGGCTGCTGGTGGGTCAGGAGCCTGGCCTAATGGGGTATGGCAGTGAGAGGGAAGAGGAGGCCTAGGAAGAATGAAGAATTAGCTGAGGCGAGGGCAACATTTTAGGTATGTGGCTGGATGTGCCTGCTGCTCAGGTAGGGATCTGATGCCTTCTTGACTGAGGAATTTAAATGCTCTGAAGGCAACATAGTAAGGTTGAGAGGGGGTGTGGCCTGTGAGAGCATGATGATGCAGGCCCACTAAGTACTTTCACTTGTCACTGACCTCACTGATACAGACACTCTTCCAAGGTCCTCACTGGAGCTCAACATCCTGTGTGGGTATTGAGGTTGAGGACATTCTCACTTTACCCAGAAGATAATCCAAGACAAGACATTAGTGACTTAGTGAACAGCCCAAGGTTACAGAACCAGTAAGTACATGGAGGAGCTAATGTTTCAATAGAGAGCCTATCCTAGAGCCACCGTACCCTCTTGCTGTTAGGGCATAAGAGAGGAGGCTGTGGTTTCAGAGCTCACTGCAGTGGGAAGCAGGTGACCACCTGCCAAGGATGTGAGGCAGAGTTGTGCTAGACCAGTCTAAACTCCCTTCTGATCAGGTCTCAGGTTTTCCTTCATTTTAAGGTTACTATCAATACAAATGTTGTGTGTTTTCTCTGCAGTGACCATGAGAGACACCAGGCTGACAGCACTGGAAACTGATGTAACAACTGACCCCAGGACAGGTAAAGTGTACATAGGAGGGAATGTCTCACCTTGCTCATGGGTGCCCCAGTGTCCAGATGCTTCCTTATTTGCTGGTTTAGTGTTTATGGTCTTTGCTTCCTGCCAAGCACTGGAGTATCTATGGCTTGAGGTAGCTAACCACATCACCAGTGACCTCCTAAATGCTGTTTGATGCCAGGCACTGATTATATAAATACATGGTTTTCCTCAAGTATACTTGGTTTATTTCCATTCTATAGGAGAAGAATTAGGCCCAGAGATGAAAGTCAGTTCTGTAACTAGCAAATTCTAGTTTTAGCCACTAATTAAATTGAGGCCTAAAGTAAGTCATTTACTCAGAGATTTTTAACCCTGGCTGGGCCTCAGGAATCTACTTTGGATTCTATAAACAAACTGGATGCCACATCTAGGCCTCAGCCTGTAACCTGCTGTGTAGTAGGGCCTGGGCCTTGTCATTTGTAGATTACAGATGTTCTACCATGCATCATGCGCTGAGACCTCCTGGGTTAGCACTTTGTCATCTTGATGTGTTTGTATCTATTTGTACTCTTAAATCAGCTTTTTGGATACATTATTTTCTTTGTTGGCTTTTAAGAATCAGGGGAGTCTCCAAGTCCTAGAATATACCCTATATAATGTTACTGAGGCTCTGTGAGTTTAGTCTAAGTAGTCTACCTGCCCTTTGAGCTACAGTCTTTAGTTTATTAGCAGAGGTGATGTTACAAGTTGTTGTGATAAATGCCTGACAAAAGCAACTGGAGAAAGAGAAAGGGTTGGTCACAGTTTGACACTCTTGTCCTTCACGGCAAGGAAGTTATGGTGGCAGAAGCTTGAGGCAGCTGGTCACATTGCATTTATGCTTGAGAAACAGAGAGAGGTGAATGCTGGTGCTCAGCTTATTTGCTCATTTTTATCCATTCTGGGGCCTCAGCTCACAGAGTATTGCCACCCACTCAGGCTAGCTTTACTCCGTTCCATTAAATCGTTACAGCAGCACCCTCACATGCCTACCCAGAAGTGTGTTTCCATGGTGATTTTCAATCCCATCAAGTTGACAATGAAGATTAGCCCATGCAGGTATCAGTTGTCATGCTTGTGTGCTGTACAGGAATCAGGGAAGGTGGAAGGGGGTTTATTCTACAGTCTTCATACATACACTGCTAATGTGAGTCATTTCATGGTCAGTGGTAGCTACTTTGTCTGCCACTGCCTCACTTTTGTCATGAGGATCATAAAGTATAGTTAGATTTCACAAACAGGGACTTAGTACAGATGGCAGATGGCTTTACATATTTAGAAAGTGGATGTGTCTTTCTCTCAAGAATGAGAGAACTTCATGGGTCTGACTCTCAGTTTTCAGTTTCTTCATGTGTTCTTCATGCTGCCCCTTCTCACCTTCTCACTGTGTAGTGCAGACTGACCCTCATCCTCTTGTTTTAGTGCTGGGAATGTGAGTGTTTGCCACCACACTAGGCTACCTTCCCCCTTTTAGAATTTCACCAAATATGAGCTCAGAGTCAGAGGGTTAAGTGTTGAGAGCAGTGACGCCCAAGTGCAATTTCACTGTTATTAAAAATAAATAAATGAAATAATAAAATAAATCTCAAATTTTATTAAGCATTTTTTTTATCATTACAATTTCATTACCATAGCAGTCAGATTTTAAAAGTGTTAAATTTTCGCGTAGCAAAGGTGCTTTATGAGCACAAAACAGCAGATTGTCTTGTGATCACTGTGTCTGCCACGTGTGTGGCACCCTCTGAGCAGGCACACCGGGCCCTGTCATCAAGCCACATTCAGGGAGTTTCCAGTAGGAGCTCATAGTTTCGAAGGCCTCAGCCATCTTTCAGTTCACTCCTAAGCTGCCACGGAGTGCTGGTAACTCACAGTTCTCATTCCAGCAGCTTTTGTTAATAGGCTCAAAAGTTAAGCATTTTTATAAAGAATATTAAAACTTGGCTATGAATAAAAATATTTTGCTATTTTATTTTTTCTTAACATTGTTTTCCTTCTCTGGTTTTTGTATACTTTTTTGTTGTTGTTGTTATTGGGTTATTTTGTTTGTGGTGCTGGGGATAGAACCCAGGCCCTAACATATTAGGCAGGCTCTCTACCATTCAGGTATACCAACTCTTTTCATGTCCTTCATGTTTTACTATTGGTGGTAGTTATGAGTTTGTTTTGTAATTTTTTTTAAATATAAAGTTGAAGTAAAATGATTGATTATTTTAAATTTTGTTTTGTTTTCGAGACAGGGTTTCTCTGTGTAGCCTTGACTCTCCTGGACTTGCTTTGTAGACCAGTCTGTTCTCGAACCCACAGAGATTCACCAGCAGAGTCTGCCTCCCTGAGTTCTGGGATTATAGGCGAGCACCATTAAGCCTGACTTGATTCCTTATCTTTCTTTGATTTATCCTACAGGATGGAAGTATTCTAAACATGCTACTGCTTCTGCTGCTGCTGCTACTACTGCTTCTCTTCCTCCTCCGCCTCCTTTTCTTCTTTTTCCTGACAGGGTTTTTCTATGTAGGTTGGTTTTTCCTGAAACTTACTTTGTAGATCTGCTGGCCTCAACCTCACAGAGCTCTGCCTGCCTCTGCTTCCTGCCTCCTGAGTTCGCCAACACCACCCAGCATGATTTTCTTCTTGAAAGACTGAATTAAGTACAATACATATAGGTTATTTTGTTTGTTATAAAGTTCAAACACAATTCTGTAACATTTCTTGGGGACATTCAGGGCTGGGGCTAGCTTTGCAATTATAGTTGCTTGTCAACCAGCGTCAAGGCCAGAATTTAATCCCGGGGATCCTCATTGTTGAAGAGGAGTCCCAACTCCTAAAAGTGGCTCTTGACCTCCATTTATGAGTGTGGTGCACGTGAGGTACATACACACAGATAAGCAAATAAAAGTTCTTAGAAAATAATTTTGTGAAATTTTGACTAAGATAGAATTTAGCTTTCATGTTATTTAAATTTTCATAAGTGATTGCTCAAAGAACATACAAGTCATCTAAATAAACTAATCTTTTAATATTTGTGTTAATTAATATGTCAAGTGATTTAAATGTTCTTGATTGGGGCTGGTGATGGAGTTCAGTGGTGGAATGTTAGCCTTCTATGTACAAGGTTCTGGGTTAGATCTCCAGAACTGTTTGGAAAAAAAAATCACATATAGCATTAACTCACTTTTTTATTTTTATAATTACACATTTTGTCCTTAAACTGAAAGAATTTTGACTTATAATACACAGGCTTTAGGTTTTGTCTTGAATGTTTTATTTGAGTGAACAGGTGTGAACTGTTAAATAGTCTAAATATACTTCTTGTCCATAACAGCAATGTCTTGTAGCTAAATGTGATGTGAACCCTGTGGTGATGTCTCATACACACAGATAAAAAAATACTCCCCACTCAAGTAGTCGACTCTTCAGCTACAGCCTTTCAAAGACTAGCACTTTGGCCTGTCATAAGTATGGAGACTGAAAGTTAGATCCTACTTTCCCTGCTGTTGAGACCAGGATGTTCCATATGGTCAGAGTCGACTAGTAGCTGTAGAGGGTCAACTTGGTTGAGGGTTCCGTATGATTAGAAAGTTTCTTTTATTCCAAGTAGTGCCAACAGCCTCCTGCTCCTTTAAATCAAGTGGTCAGAGGAAGCTTCTCAGATGTGGTCCTCTGAGCAGATGGCTGAAGAGACACAGCCACAGGGGTGTGGGGGAAGCTCTAGCAGTATAGAGAAGAGCAGCTATGAAGGTCTGGCTAACATGCAAGGAGACACACAGTGGCTTAGGGTGAAGAGGCAGAAGTAACGGGCATATGACGGGGTGGTGTAGGACACTGGTGAGTTTGGCCCTGATTCTCCAGGGGAAGGCGCTGGCTGATTTTAAGTGGGAGCCATCCTGATTCCCATATTTTAAAGTTCCTGCACACCGAAGGCAGAGTGAGGGGGACTGCTGTTCTCTTGTCTACAAAAGGAAGATGGTGAGGGCTGGGCTTGGGGGTGTGGCAAAAGGGATACAGAGCAAAATGAAGAGGCTTGTAGATAGGTATGTGTGGGGTTGGGGGTCTTGGAGTGTCAGGGATGTCATCCAGGGTGTTTGTCTTTTTTAGAGATCCAGAAGACAAGCAGAGCAGCAGGTGTGAGAGTCGGGAATAAGTGCTGAAGGTCATGACACCTTTACATGAGCAGGGCCTTCCATGTGGCAGTGTGGCATTAATCCATCAAGATAATAATAAAAGGAAATGTTACTTAGCCCTGTAGCATGCAGAAGTGGTTCCTTGGGTTCTGTCTTTTGAATGCTCCAGAGTGGTCTTTCCTATAGTATGTCACTTTGGTAGCTGCACAAGGATATGTCACTGTGTCTGTGGTCCTGACTTTCTGCAGGCTGAGGTGCATCTAATCAATCTAATTGCCTGCCTGCTGAGGTGCAGGCAATCAAGTGGAGACACTTCCTCTCCCTTTGCACACTCACTGAGCCCTCTCTGTTTCTTTGGTGAAATATCTAGAAGTTTTCATCATACCTACCATGTCTGTCTTAGCACTTTATACTTGTATTCCCTAAGTCTAAGTTAATGTTCCTGTCTGGGGGCTGATTTCAAAGCTTGTGATTTAGCTCTCATGAGGGCTTTCCAGACTGTCAAAGGGCTTGAACTGGGGTTACTGATGGAGAATCTCACATAAAACCTACGATTTATATCCTGCCTAGGGATTAAAAACTAGATCTTTAAAAAGTGTATTTTAGAACTACAGAGAAAAAATTATTGCCCAAAACATTCTGATATGTTTTGGAATAAAACTTCCTCTTTGTACCCTGTAAGCCTCCACAAACCATTGTTCACCAAAATCTCATTTACAGTTTGGAAACAAGCTGAGCCAGTTGTCCTAACAATGTGTGGATGGTGGGGTGGACACCATCTAGGTTTGGAACTGCCTTCTCTACTGCCTCCATTTGGATAGCTAGCCTGGCATTACTATCTTCTGACTACATAGAAGACAGAATCTTGCTAACCTTACAAGAGATAAAATAAAACCAAACTTGGGACAGAATATTTGAAATTTATGAATTGCCTTCTCTATCACTACCTGGAAAATTCTTTTGTGACTTACTGGCAGTAAGTATAGGGATTAACTAGGTAACGGTGTTCTTCTGAAGTTGTCCTAAGACGGTGGCTCAAAGCTGTTTCTGTGCCTGTTGTGGGATCCAGCTAGTCAGTGAGAAATGTTCAAACCTTTGCTCAGGGATTGGATTACAGACAATGAACTACTATGCTTGGCTTTAGTTGGATTTTCATTGGCATGATGTTTCTCAAACAGGCTTTTATATCACCTGTTTAAGAAATCTGGAAAGCTGCACATAGTGGAGCTGCACATAGTGGAGCTGCACATAGTGGTGTGCCTTTAGTCCCAGCACCCAGAAGACAGAAGCAGGCAGATCTCTGTGGGTTCAAGGCCAGCCCAGTCTATAGACTAGGCAACCCAGGGCTGCATAGTGAGACCATTTCTTTAAAAATAGACAAATATCACTTGGAGCTGCATGAGGTGATGGATGCCTATAATCATAGTCGTATGGAATCTGATGTAGAGGCTTGCTTGAGCCCAGGGCTTCCAAGATCAGCCTAGGCAATATAGCAAGACTTCAACTCACAAGGGGGAAAGAAAACTCAGAAGAATTGCCTGGGTGTTATTAGAATGTGGATGCCTGGGCCTAAACATTCCAGGCAGTTACCAAATCAAACCTAACAATTATTACTATGGCTTCCTCAAGACAAAAAGTAGGGATGTACTTGTTTATCCCTTTGGGACATCCTGATTCTCATTTGTAAAATAAAGCTAAAACGTGTTTGCCTCAAGTTGCTATGATGATACACATTTAGTCCAATGTCACATTTATAGGTTTGGGGCTCCAGCATTGGGCAGATCTGGGTTCATTTTTCTTCTTCTCCCCTGGTTTTGCCTCTTGCTCTTTTTGTGACCAAGAGTAAAAAGTTTGTTAGCTTTCACTCTCTATAAGGTAGATGGCATGTGCTCATCATATGGCAGTAGTATCAGGAGCATATACAATGATGTTTGTTGAAAGTGCACAGTGCCTCTTATAAGTAGTAAAGTCTTCGCCTTTTTTAAGCAAAGCTCTAAAGACTGTACTATACATGTGTATAGTAAAGCTTTGGGAATGAGCTGCTTTCTATATGTAAATGTGAAGATAAGGTAGTAGTTGCTCCACTTCCAGAGCACTGATTTGGCAGGTGTGTCTTAATGGTCATACAGTGCAAGCACTTGCCTATTCCCAGCAGCTTTTGGGTATGCAGTAGATATGTCCGTGAATGTTCACTAAAATCCAAAGCAATCATGGTTCACACTAGCTGTTGGGCTGGGGCCTAACCAGCTCTTCCATTTTCAGCCATTGACATTGTCATGAAGAGAGTAACATGTGCAGCTTTATTTGTGCAAACAGCTTGTCTGCTTTGTAGAGCAGGATTGAAGCAGTGTTACCCAGCACCCAGGAGACCCAGAAGCTGGGAGAACTACTGAGTAGCTGTGGTGACAGTTTCATAGAGCTCCATCAGCTTCCTAAACTTGTCCATCAGAGGACTCCCCTGCATTTCATCAGCACAGTTCTGCTAGCATAGGCTGCCCTGGATGAGTTTCTCTGGCTTGTTTTCCTGTAGGTGTTTAGTTTTTGTGCTGTCAAGTAAGAGTCACTTGTCACACTATCCGTATCCCCATTTTGCAGTCTGGTAGTGGCCCTAATGAAGAGCTGTCCAAGCCGTTAGCACACGTCCTGGAGCCCACACAGCACAGTTGAGTGAGAGAATGGCTCAGTTAGCCAACATTGGGGAGCTACTCTCCATGCTGGACTCTTCCACACTGGGTGTGCGGGATGACGTGACAACCATCTTCAAGGAGTCTCTCAATTCTGGTAAGTAGAGAATTGTTCTCACAAGAAGAGCTTGACCTGGAGCTGAGCAGGTTGGGGCTACTATGCTAGTTTTCATCTTCAGAGGATGTGTTTAGAAAGTTCATTCTCTGTCTCTGTCTCCCTCTTTTCCTCTCTCCCTCTCTCTCTCTACCTTATTTCAGTAGTTTTCATCTTCAGAGGATATGTTTAGAAAGTTCATTCTTTTTCTCTCTTCTCTCCCCTCATCCCCAACTTGTTTCAGTATGCATTCCAAACTAGCCTGGTACATGTAAAACCCTCCTGCCTTAGCCTTCCAAATGCTGGGACTTCAGGCAGTTCTGCCGCATCAGTCTTTTAATCTGCTAGGCCAGAGAGTATCTATTGGTGGGTTCCCACTGCATTTTTTTTAAACAGCTATTACAGACCATGGAGACATAAACCCATCTTCTGCCATTTTGTCTTATAGATAGATAGATAGATAGATAGATAGATAGATAGATAGATAGATAGATAGATAGATAGATAAAATAAAAAATGTGTGTGATGTGAGAGATAGATAAATGTGTGTGGTGTGTTTACATGTGTACATGTACAACATGTGCCTTTGTGTTTGTGTGTGTGCATTTGTGTTTATGTGTAAGTGTGTGTACTTGTGTGTGTGCATTCAAACATGCTTACCTGGGTTTATGTGTACTGCATGTGTGCATGTTCTCCTGAAGGTCAGAAGACGGTGTGAAATTTCCTGGAACTAGAGCTATAGAGCCACCACATGGGTGCTGGGAACTGAATCTAGGGCCCTTGTAAGAGCAGAAAGCATTATTAACTGTTGAGCCATTTCTCCAGCCATTCATTTACTTATTTACTTATTTATGTTGTTACACATTTATTTAATTTGTGTGTGTGTGTGTGTGTGTGTGTGTGTGTGTGTGTGTGTGTGTGTACGTCCACACACAGAGATCAGAGGAGAGCATTTGGGTGTCCTCATCTTCTATCCCTTGAAACAGTGACTTACCGAATGTGGAGCAAGGCTGGTCGCCAACAGTCCCCAGTTATTTATCTTCCTGTCTCTGTCTTCTGGGGTTATAGGAATTCATGACTATTCCCCATCCCTCCAGATACCAGGATTTCTCTGTGCAGGATTTAGCTGTCCTGGAACTTGTGTAGAACCTGTGTAGACCAGGCTGGCCTCAAACTCAGAGATCCACTTGAAAGTGCTGGGGTTAAAGATGTGTGCTACCACCAACTGGCTTCATGCCCAGCTTTTTATGTGTCTTCTTTTTATATGTATTCTGGGCTCAGGTCCTCTTGATTGTACAGCAGGCACTCTACCCAGTGTGCCATACAACTATGATAGCATTTCATACATTTTTGTGTTTATTTAGGCCAATAAGCTTACAATTATCCTGTTAGTCTAGCAAATTTAAAAAGGCAAAAACAGTACTAAATGACGTTGGTTAGTATTGGAGGACATTTTCTGGCTTTATGACAACTATTGAGGGAAAAAGAAGTAAGTTGGATGAACTGCCCTTTTTGTTTAGAGCGTGGGCCTATGCTTGTAAACACCTTGGTGGATTACTACCTGGAAACCAATTCTCAGCCGGTATTGCACATTCTCACCACCTTACAAGAGCCACATGATAAGGTAAGTGCTGGGATAGAATAGCACTGCACTTTGTATGTTGTCAGTCAAGTGAGGGTGTCTGTGAACGTCCACAGCAGTTTATCCACAGCTGTCACCAGAGATACATAAAATACTTACAGGCTCTGAAAAGTTTACAAAATAGCGTCAGTTTCAGAGGCTTCTTACAGATTTTTCTTTTTAAAGAAATATTATAATTTTAGTACTATAGGAGATTAATGACAATTGAGAAAAGATCTTTAAACCTGTGCTTTGAGTAGGGTTTTTGAACTTACCAATAGGGGAAAATCCCTAAGAGTAGCCAGCTAAGTCTTATGTTTGCAGGTGAGGTTGCCTGTTCTAGGACTGCATGTTTTTACATTGCCTGCTGTGGTCTTCTTTACTCCAGGCCAGATTGCAATCCCACAGTGGCTTATATTACATTTAAGGCTAGAGCATAGATTCTTGCCTGTTACAGTAGTGTCTTCCATAGCCTGCCTTGGGCTTTTAGCCTTGGGTTGTGAGCAAGGGTGGAGAGAGAAGCTGTAGTATAGTCTTCATCCTCTTTGCAACTCCTGTGTTAAGGGGTCCTTTTTCATAAATTGCAGCTGGCCGTTCTCTCAGGCCAAAAGGAGAAAACTTTGTTTGCTAATGTAGTTTTGAAAATCTTGGATTGGGTTTACTAGCCTTTTTGTTGGAGCCTTAGCCTTTACAAGCTGAGCCATCTTTCCAGCCCAGTGGGCTTATTAAATCTTTTGGGGCCTGTATTAGAAAGAAGAGTTAAGTATTTAGAGTTTATCAGTACTGCCAGTATTTTGGTTAACTTCATATGCTTACAGGAAAATTTCTGTTGGTCTTTTACATTTTTAGCACCTCTTGGACAAAATTAATGAGTATGTAGGCAAAGCTGCCACCCGTTTATCCATCCTCTTGCTACTGGGCCATGTTGTGAGACTACAGCCATCTTGGAAGCATAAGCTTTCTCAAGCACCTCTTCTGCCTTCTTTATTGAAATGTCTCAAGGTAGGATATTTGTAAAGTTTTGAAGGAAATACTTCTGTAAATATTGTTTCTGAAAAATGGCTTAACACAAATTTGCAGGAGTCAGTTCTTTTCTTCTGCCATGTGGGTCTCAGGCACTGAACTCAGATTGTCAGACTTGGTGATAGGTATGTTCACCCATTAAGCCACTTCACTAGCTTTGGGCTAGTTTATTTGTTTATTTATATTTTATGTGTATTTGTGAGTCTTACCATGTAGTCCTAGTAGATCTGTGTCTTACTCTAGAATCAGGCTGTCTTTCAACTGGAGGCAAGTCTTCTGCTTTAGCCTCCCAACTATTAGAATTACAAGTGTTAACCTCCATGTTCAACCTGTAGTAGTCCTCTAAAAAAAAGTGAATTGGACTGGGAGTGTAGCTCAGTGGTGGAGCCTAGCATGCAGAAGGCCCTGGGTTTGGTTTCTGGTACTAGTGAGATAATGAACTAGCTCTCAGTGTGCAGTGTCCCTTAATCACTTAACAGAAAATTAGCGTCTTAGAAGTTAGTTGGTTGGGTGAGGATAGTGATATCCTGTGTCCTATGTTCAATGTAAGCTGTCTCTTATACTGTCATCCAGGCACTGGGATGAGGGTCTTGAGGATTCTGGATTTGGGAATTTCAAGCCTAGTTAAATCATCTCTCAGTTGAGATGGTGGAGTATGGGAAATGGTCCCCTAGTCTCACCACAATGGTGACAGGGCTCAGTGCTTCTTTCTGCTAAGTCTATTTCAGTGCTGTCCCTCAAATTCTTAGGGGTCAGGAAATGAGCACAAGAGGGGCTTCAGATCTGTGACCTCAGGATTCGGACCCTCATCCCAGTGCTGAGCCTGACGTCACCCTTCCCTTCTGCAGATGGACACTGATGTTGTGGTCCTCACAACTGGTGTCTTGGTGTTGATCACCATGCTACCAATGATCCCGCAGTCAGGGAAGCAGCACCTTCTTGATTTCTTTGACATCTTTGGCCGTCTCTCGTCATGGTGCCTGAAGAAACCAGGTATAACTTCAGTGTCTTCATCAGGCTTTGAAAGGGAGTCCTGTCCTTATTGTTAGCAGACATATGTTGGCGGGGGGTGGGGGTAGGGAGGAAGGATGTGTGGTATTCACTACACAGATGAGAAAATGTTTGGGTGTACCCATTGCAGGGCACATAGGAAGTGGGACTGGTGGGTGAGACACTGTCCTAATGCTGTTGGTCAGAAAGGATTGCCAGAGAAACTGAGGAACAGGAGGTACAACTTCCTAAATCTCATTAGTAAAACAGTCACAGTCTTTACCTTTGGGTGTTGTGCAGCTGAGTTTACAAATTTTCGTGTCCTCTATGCTGATGTTTACAGCCATAGCCTCACAGCTTCAGTTGTGAGGACCCATTGGTTGTGGATGGAGGAGGAGACAGGCTCCAGTGTCCTCATTAGGGCACAAGTGTCAAGTGCATGGAATTTTTTCCCATATCAGATCACATTGGCAGGCAGGGTAGCTCCTCAGAGTGATCCAGAAGCTGTCAGCTGGTGAACTGCAGTTTTTTTTTTTTTTTTCTGGTAATCTTAGCATGAAATATTCATATTAGAGGATGAAATATGTATGGTCTGTTGGGGAGACTGCTTGCAGGTCTCTGCATAGGGGCCATTGAGCACAAGCCTGGTCTGCTAGCCCTGCTCATATCTTTATGGGAGAAAGGAACAGTTACTCCTAGAGCATGGGAATTGCCATGGGATCTTGGTAAGGCCAGATTAATCGAATTATCCAAGCAACTTAAGCTAATTTCTACATCTGTAGTGTTTCTTCTTTAGTTATAAATCTGCACAGCTAAGATCATAACTTGGTTTTAAAGTCCCTTACATGCTCACTCTACAAACCCTTATGTGTTTATTATGTACCAAATATTATATGTGGCACTAGGGGAGAGAGAGAGGAAGAGTGCCTTTGCAAGACACACATGCTGAATCAGGAAAGGAATGTCACTACAGATTGTAGGGTGAGTGACTATGATACAGAGGTAGCTCCATGTTGGAAGAGTTTTTGGAGTCTTTCTTGCAGGGGTGGCTGGAGAGGAGGAGGGAGGCAGAGATGAGTAAATGCCCTTATAGGTCATAAGAAACAGATTGGAGTTTACCCAAAGGATCCACTGGTGGGTTTTAAACAAGAGCATAAGACAAATCTGCACTTGTCGTACCTTTCTGGAGCACAGTAGGAGAGCTTCAGAGAAAAAGCATGCTGGCATCCTCAAGTTTCTGTCTCTACAACTGAGCCTGGTTTCCTTCCTTAGGCCATGTGACAGAAGTCTACCTTGTCCATCTCCATGCCAGTGTTTATGCCCTCTTTCATCGCCTTTATGGAATGTACCCTTGTAACTTCGTCTCCTTCCTGCGCTCTCACTATAGTATGAAGGAAAATGTGGAGACTTTTGAAGAAGTGGTCAAGGTGAGTTAAAACAAAACACTGCCCTTTTATTTGATCCTTAGAGCTTCTTTTGTGAAGATACTTTTATAACTTTTGTATTATATGGCAGACAGGGAAATTTTGAAAAGAAATCCTTGACACCTCCACTTCAAACCTAGGTAGCTAGTCGTCTTTCTGAGTCCTTAGTCAAGAGTTGCTATTTTGTGCAGTTCGTGTCGTAGGATCATGCAGTGTCTGCTCTCTTGTGATTGGTTTCTCACCCTATTTCAAGGTTCATCTGTGTTGTAACATGTATCAGTACTTCATTCCTTTTTGTTGTCAAATAATGTTCCATCATGTGGATTTGCCACACAACTTCACATCTATAATTTGTCAACTCAAACTCTTCTAGCCAATGATGGAGCATGTGCGAATTCACCCGGAATTAGTGACTGGATCCAAGGACCATGAACTGGACCCTCGAAGGTACAGAAACTAAATTAATGACAATTTTTGAGTCTCTTAAGAGATTGAAAATGTGATCTACGGATACCTGTGGGAATACAGATGTTCCACTTGTAGAATGGGTTGGAACTTTGGATTTAGAGCATACTCCTCACAGAGAGCTACTGACTCCGTGAGCAGAGCAGAGGCGGTGACATCCAGTGACTGTCCCCAGAAGCTCAGGAAGGCTTGCATTTTGGTAATTTGAGTGGGTAGGGAGGTTAATTGGGTTGCTGAAAACTAGGAGATTACAGAAAGGCCAGATTTGGAGTAATGAGCCTCCTTGGGTCTCTTTCTCTATGATTATTGTCAGGTGCCTGACACTCTCCCACCTTGCCTCATAGGCCCTGCAGGAATTCCCAGGTGTGTCCTGAGGACCTACTGAACCTGCTGAGGTCTGCATGTCAGGCAGACTTACGATTCCCAGTGAGGGGATGGAAGTTTTCTCAGGTCACTTGGCTAAAAGGATAAGTGGGGACAGTAGGAGCCTTGGCGATGTTGTGAGGCATGCTTGTCTTTTGGCGGGGGTGTTCTGAGCTGAACTGGCTGGGACTCAGCTTTTGGCTTGTTTCTTCTGAGCCATTGCTTGACCTCTTTCCTGGGCAGCATCTCTCATTTTCTGTATTTTGTGTCTTTCTTAGTGTGTGTGTATGTTGGCAGGTGCAAACATATGTGTGTGAAGGCCAGAGGTAGGTATCTTCCTCAACCAATTCTCCATCTTATTTTTTGAGGCATAGTCTTTTCACTGAATCTATAATTCATTATAGCAAAGCACCCCACTGTGCTTTGCTGCTTTTTTTCTTTTTTTAAACTGTTTGTTTGTTTGTTTGTTTTTGTGGTAGATGTGGGTTCTGGGGACTGTACAAGCACTTTCTGACTGAGCCATCTCCCAAACTCCCACTTTGCTTGTGCTGTGCTGTATCCTCTAGCATTTAGGAAGGATGAAGTTGACTTGGCTGGGTGTGAAAGCTAAGCTGAGAGTCAGTCTCCTTCAGTGATTGGAGGCATAACTCACGGTCATTTTACTGGCAGTTTTGATGGTTTTTCTATATGGGGCTGGCAGAGTATTTCTCTGCTGGCACGATATTCTGAAATTTCCTTGTGACCTACCTTGTGTAAACCTATTGTCATTGTTCAGCATGCAATTTTTTAAGCCTTAGATTTTATTTATTGTTTTGGGCATGCCTCTCCCCCTCTGGTTGCCTGTCCTTCCTACACACCCATTGGTAACATCAAAACCTGTTTTTCCTTCCTGTCCTTTAGTCCACTTCCTGCAGGCTTCATTGGTGTTCAGCCCTCCCACTTCAGTTATTCCCACTATTGTGCTTTTTGCCTGAGTGCTCATTTTAGTTTGCAGAGTGCTTTTCTTTAGTCACCATCTTTATCTCAGAGATAGTGCCTTTTTTGTTTTCCTGCATAGTGTTTCTTCTAAGTCCTCCCCGTTTCATTCACTTGTTTTGATTTGTTCTTTTTAAGTCTTTGAGGCATTTGGCAAAGCTTTTGTGATTCTCTTGTGCTTGGGTAGGAAGACAGAGAAGCTGGTTGTGAGGTTGGGCATTTTGATCTAGAGCATTTCTGTGTGGATCTGAGCATCTTGGGGAGATACCAACACTGGGTTTGTGTTCTTTAGCTGGTCAGGTTTCTGGTCAGGTTTTTAGTAAATTCTCCTGAGCTCCAGGCTGGTGAGGCTCTGGCTGCTTCTGCAGAAGAGGTAGGTAAGGAGAGCTTGGTGGTTTGTGCGTTCAGACGGTGTACTTTCTCGGAACTGGCTTGCCTGGGATGCCATGTTCTTGCCTCTTCTGTTGAAGCTTTGTTCTAGCCTAGGTTAATTTTCTTGGAGAAAATCTCTTTGCCAGGGAATAACTAGATTCCTGTGAGGAATGTAGTCCCTTTCTGGGAACGCAGAGTTAGAAGGGACCTCAGATGCTCTGTGCTTCTCCAACAATTCCTGTCCCAGCTGCCTCCGGGTAGCTGTCTCTAGCTTCTTGCCTCTAACCTCCAGTTCCAGAAGATCTGAATGCTGTGAACTCTTGGACCCCTAAGGGTTGTGTAGTATATGCCAGCTGACTAGTGGCTTGAAGCTCTGTTTAGGACTTTGCTTCTCAAGTTGGACATGCCAGTTGGCACCTCTGTGCTGCTCTCCAGATGTGGACACTTGTGCTTGCTGTTTTCTTTCCTCCCTATGCCTTGTATTTGAAAATGGGTCTTTATTATAGATGTTGGAACTTGGGGAGATTGTACAGTGGGTGAAGATGTTCAGTCAGCCATGTTAGCTTGGGGGCCTTCCCTGTCAGCAGCACACAGCACCTCAAAATGCCTAGGGTTTTGGACCATCTGGTATTGGAAAGAAGCTCTGTTTGCCATGAGAGAGACAGAATGGTGAGGAAAGGGAGTCAGGAAGGAACATTGATAGCAAAGCCACAGAGCAGGCAATTGTACATGGTTATGTGGGACCAGGGTAACAGTAAAAGGCATTATAATATCCTAGAGAGCTCTTGAAATTAAAATGAACCCCCAAATAAGTCCTTCAGCCAAGGAACTGGAGGTACAGCTGAGACTGGCTCAGTTGAACAAAGAACAGAGGCAGGTGACTGAGAACAGCTTTAGAGTGGTGGGTGGATCCCAATAGCCAATACAATCACTTTTAAAAGGAGGACACGTTGACAGAAGAACCTTTAAAAGAAATTTTCTGAAGCTGAAACTTCTAGATTGAAGGTGTTTATCTAAGGCAGGGCTCAGTCATTGAAACGGAATGCTGCCAAACTGTCAGCTTTGTGAGATTTCAAAATACTAGACGAGTAAACCTTTCAGAAAGTTGGAAAGATAAAAACACCCAGACACTTAATAAGAACCAGAGACCAGAGGAGTAGTATTAGCTTCTCAGCTCCCTCAAGAGGTTCCCAAGTTAGAGTTCTGTGGTCTGAGGCCCTTTTAGACAGGCCAAGACTCAAAGTTACCCCAATGCCTCCCCAGCTGGCATAGAAGAGAGTTCTGCCAAGTGAGTTCAAGAAGGTTAAGGCTTGATGTAGGCTGATCAAAGAGGTGTCAGAACACCGGGCCAAGGACTAGTGCAACTTCAGAAGCGAGCTCAGTGGGGAGGGACACCAACCCTGGTAGATTCTGTATTTCATTATGCAAGAGAGACAGTGGGCTTCAGTCCAGAATGACCAGGGTAGTTCAGCTGGCATCGGACATATCGCAGACTAGAAGAAGAAAACACGCCAGGCTATACCAAGTGAGAAACTGTCAGTCTCCAGCTCTGCCATGATTGTTGCTCGCACAGTCTTAATAATTGTTTAAGTCAGCCAGACATGGTGGCAAATGCCTTCAATCCCAGTGCTCAGGAGGCACAGGCAGGCAGATCTTCAAAGTGTGAGTCCAGGACAGCCAGGGTTCTTGTTACACAGAGAAACCCTGCCTTGGAAAAACTAACTAACTAACTAACTAACTAACTAACTAACTAACTAACTAACTAACTAACTAACTAACTA